CAGTGCAACACAAACAAGCAATGAAGGCTGGCTGGTTGACAGTGGATGTACAATCCACATGACACCAAACCTGCGGAACTTTGTCAAATTGAATCATGCATATCAGTCCAGAATCAAAGTGAGAAATGGTGAGTTTGTGGACGCAAGAGGAAATGGAGATGTCGTTGTCCAGACACCAACAGGCACAAAACTCATTACCAATGTACTCTATGCACCCGAAATTAGCCAAAGCCTTCTATATGTAGGACAAATGTTGGAAAATAATTATGTCTTGCATTTTGAGAACCAAACCTGCCAAATCTTGGACAGTAAAGGGTGTGAACTTATGAGAGTAAAAAAGGTGGGAAAGAGCTTCCCTATTAAGTGGGAAAAATCTGAAGTTAGAGCCTATAATGCTAGGGTAGATGAGTTTGAAAAATGGCATAAGAGATTTGGTCATTTCCATTATCATGGCCTTAAAGAAATTCAGACCAAAAAATTGGTCCAGAATCTGCCCGAAATTGAAGAAACTAAGGCTGTGTGTCTAGCTTGTCAACTTGGCAAGTTGAGTAGGCAACCCTTCCCTATAAACCAAGCCTGGAGAGCTGCTGGAAAACTTCAGCTCATTCATTCAGATGTGTGTGGACCTATGGAGACATTATCATTGAGTGGAAGTAGGTACTTTGTGTTGTTTATAGATGGCTGGTCCAAGATGTATTGGGTGTATTTTTTGAAGCAAAAAGGTGAGGTGGCTGGTGTGTTTAAGCAATTTAAGTAGCTAGTGAAAAACCAAACAGGAAAAACCATCAAAACCTTGAGAAGTGATAATGGTACTTAATACACTTCTCAAGAGTTTGAGCAAATTTGCAAAGAGGTTGGAATTAGACATCAGTATAGCAGTCCCTACACTCCACAGCAAAATGGAGTTAGTGAGAGGAAGAGCAGGTCAGTTGGGCAGAAGCTATCAACACTACAGTGTACTTGCTCAATAGGCTTCGCACAAAAGCCTTAATCAACCAAACTCCTCATGAAGCCTGGTATGGAATCAAGCCAGCAGTAGACAATCTCAAAAATTTTGGGAGTATATGTTATATCTTAGTTCCAGCAACAAAAAGATCCAAGTTGGATGAGAAGGCCTTGATTGGAATTTTTATTGGCTATAGCAGCCAATCCAAAGCTTATCGAGTGTATGTTCTAGAATCCAAAAGAATCCAAAAGAATCCAAAAAGATTTTGATCTCCAGGGATGTCAAAGTAGATAAGGATGGAGCTTGGAATTGGGAAGAAAGCAAAATTGATGTAGAGACAAGACATAAATAGACAGAAGCTGGAGGTGATCAGACTTTTGAAAAAGATGAGAATGATGCAGAAGAGGAACTCTCGGTTAGAGGAACTAGACCTTTAGCTGAGGTTTATAAGAGGTGCAACATGGCTTCACTTGAACCAACAAACTACTTTGAAGCAGCAAAATCAGCGGCTTGGAAAGCTGCCATGAAGGAGGAGCTAGCAATGATTGAGAAGAACCAAACCTGGAAACTTGTGGACAGACCTGAGAACAGAAAAGTAATCCAAGTTAAATGGATTTTCAAGAGAAACTCAATCCGAATGGCTCAGTTCTTAAGCATAAAACTAGGCTGCTTGCAAAGGTCTTGCTCAGCAATATGGAGTTAACTTCTTGGACACCTTTGCATTGGTAGCTAGGCATGACACAATCAGATTATTGCTTGCTGTGGCAGCTCAATTTGGCTAGAAAATTTTTCAGTTGGATGTTAAATCAGCATTCCTCAATGGATGGCTGAATGAGGAAATATGTTGAACAGCAGGAAGGGTACAAGATCATAGGAAGTGAAGATAAAGTATATCTCCTGAAGAAGGTTTTGTATGGCCTGAAACAGGCACCAAGGGCCTGGTACAGCAGACTTAATGATCATTTAATAAGCTTGGATTTTTTATAAGTCCAAATGAACATACTTTGTATGTTAGAGAGGTTGATAAGGATGTGATGATTATCTCCTTGTATGTTGATGATCTTCTTGTGACAGGGAGTAAATTAGCTCAATTGGAGGAGTTCAAGAAATCCATGCTTAATGAGTTTGAGATGACAGATTTAGGGGAAATGTTTTATTTCCTCGGGATGCAGGTTTATCAAGGTTCAAATGAAATTTGTGTCAACCAAGAGAAGTATACAAGTAAAGTTTTAAGGAAATTCAACATGGAGAATTGCAAATCAGTGGACATTCCATTGGTTCCTAATCAAAGCTTTCAAAAGATAATGATGCATAAAACATTGATGAAGGGCAGTATAGGAGTTTGATTGGTTGTTTGTTGTACTTAACAGCAACCAAACCAGATATAATGTATGCTACAAGCTTGCTATCCAGGTTTATGAATTAGCCCAAGGAAACACACTTCAAAGTTGCAAAAAGAGTGCTAAGATATGCAAAAGGTAGCACGAACTTTGGAGTATGGTTTAGGAGGTCAGAAAACTTTGAATTGGTGGGATTTTCTGATAATGATTGGGGTGGTTCTATAGAGGACATGAAAAGCACTTCAGGTTATGCTTTCTTCCTGAATTGCGGTGCAATTTTTTGGCTCTCAAAAAAACAAGAAACCGTGGCTCAATCCACAACAGAAGTAGAATATATTTCAGCTGCTGTTGCTGTGAATCAAGCTATTTGGCTGAGAAAAATCCTGGAAGATATGAAGTTGAAACAAAGAAATCCTACTGCAATTATGTGTGACAATCAATTGGCTGTGACTATGGCTAAAAATCCAATTCATCATGGAAGAACTAAACACATAAAGATCAAGTTCCATGCGGTAACAGAAGCTGAGCAAGATGGGAAAGTTAAGTTGGTCCATTGCAGAGGTGAGAATCAAGTGGCTGATATCATAACCAAAGGCTTGTCCAAAACCAAGTTTGAAGACTTTAGGCTCAGACTTGGTGTTTCCAGCAAAAATATCAAGGAGGAGTATTGAAACAATGATATTTTGTTGGAAATATAACTGAAATTCAGTTAGTTTTGAAAAACCTTTTTTGGCGCCAAAAGAGCTCTCTGTTTTGCCTTGTACTCTGCCGTGAAAGAGTTGCTGAAGTTGATAGGTTTTGATGATATGTTTAGGTGCTCTCAGTTGTGATTAAGGGTGTGTTAGTTGTAAACTTTGTTTTTAAATTTCAAACTTGTAAATGTCACTGATGAGTTGGTGTAACAATGAGCTGCCATGCTGTATAAAAAGTGTAATGTTATTGCAATGAAATACAACTTCTTCTCAACATATATTTCTCACTTCTTTCCTTAGCATTCTCCGGCTTAAGACACCTAAACCTACTCTATTCAAGATTGGAGTATTTCCATTTTTAAGTAAAGCAAAATGAACGAATACTGGAGAGATTAATTTGAGCTGCCCTCAATCAACCTCAAGCTAAAATGACATTGACCAGAACACATTTAATTCATCTCAAGAACAAAGACACATATTAAGAGGTGCCATAAAAGCCTTCTTATTTCAGATAAAGGGGGCATTCAACAAATAATGAAAATCTGTCAAACTTAACTGGAAATACTTGAAAGCTGATAAATGAGAATATATCGACAGAATAATATTTAATACCTCCAGGAAGTGCAGCCACAAATAGCAAAGGTAGAGGAGAGAGAGAGTATAACACTGTCTCACTTGGCTCTTGCATTTCTTCTTCTACTTCTTCAGCTACTTCATAAGCTTGAACAATCTCATTCTTCAATGCAACAGACTGACTGAAGACACCCCTTCTCTTTCTTGAAGCAGACAATGCAAAAGGCAAGAACCCAGTTGAGATTCTATAAGCAGTTGATGGAGCAAAGGGAAATGAAGAGGCGGGTAAATGAGAAGAAGAGGTTTTCAAGCTCAGAGTTGTAGCTCCAAAAGCATTCACCACTGCCATTTATGAAAAGACTGCCACTTTAGTTTTACACTTTGTTTCTGGTGTAATGGATGGAGTTGTTTCTCAGTTAAAGAGTGTGAAGCGGAGGTAGAGAAGAGGTGAAGTAGGAAAGGTGAGGAAAGAGACACGCCAATACAATGTATATTAGATTTAGACCTTTCCACGTGGTCTCAACACGCTCTCCTACCAAAATCAACCCACCTTTTTTGTTTTTAGTACTTAACTATCATTTGTATTCAACATTCGAGAGCATTCTCGTCCATCGATGTTGCCATGCCTGCTGCATCCATGAAAAAGAGCCAAAATGATCCTAACCCATCATCTACTGGCTACCAATGAACAATTTTCTGTGTCCAATACGATAGTGACACTAGATAGTTGATTCCAGAGTTCTTTACAATAAGCTATAGAGGTTTATGTGAACAAGTGTAGAAAAAAAAGAACAATTTCTTTTCTTTATAATTCAGATCCCACTTGAGAAACTCAAGTCCCACTAGGAAGTAGATATTTTGCAAATTTTTATCATTTAACGATCCTAAAACATCGAAAACTGTAATCTTTGAGATGCAGAAAACTCATTTTTTGGTTAGTTAAGCGACTGTGAGATAGATATCAAATCTGATACCTTCAAGAGTAATCGACAAACTATCTGCAGAAACTCGAGGCTAAAGAAGAATACTAATAAACAAAGATAGTTAAGCAGAAACAACTTTTTATGTTTCTTATTAACTGATGCTGTCCAGCTCAAAGACAACATGTAGAGTTTTGCAGCACATTCTGCATTATGATTTTCTACTCATCAAATCCTAACAATGAACAGTTAAGAACTCTTGTTCTTGTGGAAGTGAAAGGAACAATAAAATCGATAACATGTATTAACATGGAAGAAATGCTTCCTAGCAACTAATCTAACTTCTGTACATTGGCAGCAGCGGCAACTGATTAAGTGCGTTGATGTTAAGCCTATTCCCCTCTTCATCAAAAGTCCCATGATTCTTGAAGCAGACATTCCCATGTTCTCGTAACAGTAAAATACTCATCTAACTGAGCAGTGAAGGTATTTACAAAAAAAAAAAAAAAAAAAACAAAACAAAACAATATAAAATTAAAAATACATATATTCATACATTTTGTACAATAAGCTAAATCCCCTTTTCTGTTTTGTACAAAATAGCAGGCATCGATCCAAAATCTACATAATCAGCATGTGCCAGCCCCATTTTTACCATGTGGAGATCAAGCTGAAGGATTTCCCATTCAACGGCACAGGGCATTAAACTGATCCATTGTTGTTCTCTGTACACTGAGCATGATAAATGTAAGTACGCTTTGTTGTGCCTCCCACCAGTCTTAACACTTTAAATAGCAGACATAAACTAGATATTACAGAGATAAGAAGAAAGACACTCGAGATAATTGGAGATGGAGATGCTATTAAACAGCCATTTCAATCAAGGAAAAGCTGACATTTGAAATTTTATGACTCCAAATATTACATTGCTCCATTTCAAACGAATTGTGATATAGGATATGACTCTCATGGATTCGGGAGTTATCATTCGTGGACTTAAGCCATCTCACTAGAATTTATCTAACACTTACCTTATTCCGCTGCGTTAGATTGCAATTCAAAAATCAAAATCCATAATCAGAGATTCTCTTTTTGTTTCTTTTTTATACCTCGAAATCCATTGATTGACCTTTCTTATGTTTTCACTGATTTCTAAACCAAAAACTACAACCTAATCCTGCACAACCTAAGTAGTCAACCTAAGTAGATAGCCTCAAGAGAGTTTAATCACATGATTATATACTGTCATAGTAGACAAAAAAATCAAAAAGGAGGAGAAACGTGTAAAATACCAATAGCGATTGACACGAACTTCCTATGCATAATTTTAGTAACCAAGACTTTTCATAAGACAAGACAATCCAGTATTGGTGCTTCAACTTAGGATTTGAGATTAATCTGCAATACAATACCTTTGCCAAAGAATTATAGGTTCACCATTGTGAACTGGGATTTGGAAACAATAATTAGGAACTTTGAGAATTAAATAATTAATTTACCTAGGAGATAGGAATCATATCAAAAACTCCTCCCATCCAAAATCGTGTCATCTGTCAACTCGGAGAATGTTATTCAATATGCCACCCCGGGTAACTGACTCTCTCTTGGGATCATTCTTCCATTCACCATCAACAATAAACTTGATCTGCAGTTGAATTTCAAAACAAAATATTAAATTGTCATAAACAACACGGAAAATCGTTACAATAATACAGCTCATCTCTAAAAGATCTTTTTATATATTAAAACACACAAAAATATTGACTTAGAGAGTAGAAGTTACAAAAAAGAACAAATATAAAGTAAAGCCCTTTCTCCACGATAACAGCACAAGGTTCAGAAACATGCAAGGCACTAGACACCTTTGCCTCTATTTCCAGTCTATCCTCCAAAAGGGCCTGAGTATCACTAATAATGAATTAAGCATAAACAAGGATTGCCCTTTCATTGTAATATGTTACTAAGAATATAAGCAAAATGTAGTCAAAAAGTGCCAGATGGATACATGCTCTAATCTAAAATTCATGTGTCTGGAAGCAATTTTCAATGAGAGATGGCTATTGATCACCAGCAGATACCCTCTGCAGTTACAATTTTCTTTCCCATCCAATTAACATTTGCTTTTATTGCTTATATAACGAATGACAGACAATCTGTGCATCTCTTTTGCAGCTAGCTAAGGAAAAAACACTGAAAGAATGGTTAAAAATGTTAATCATCATCTCAAGTTGAACTATTACAAATCTATGCCCCAACACCAGCTATTCTCCATCTTTTGATAATTCTGGTACTAGATATTGAAATAGCTGCATAACGGCCAAACTTAGCACTTGGCAGTACTTGGCCAAAAGTGTTGCAATAGTATCTGTAAGGCACTCTCATCATTCCTTCCCTTTCTCAGAACCCACAATGTCGGGACCAGCACTAAATGAATGATTCTTTGAGAACAGCATACACATTGAAGTCTAAGTGACATACAGAAAAAGAAACCATGGCCAGAACTAGAGGAATTCATAGTTGATATTTGTTAATTCCCCTTTCTTTCACCCAGCATCTGGATTTATTTTCATAGGAAAAAAGCCATAATATGATAATCCGGCTCACAAATATGCACCAACATCAACAGGAAGCGTCAATATTGATCATGGTTACCGTTGTCAGCAAGACGAATTTCTAATTGCATTACAAACTAAAAAGACTACTCTTCTCAACAATTAAACCTGTAAGATGGACCCATTCGATCCAATTTAAGCAGTAACGCAAGATTTTTGGAAAATCTCCACTTCTACAGGCATTATAACGAAGATATAATTGCAAATGCTCACAAATTTGATATGAACAGAAAGTACATTCTCACTTCATATTGGTTGCAAAATACTTCAAAAGATAAAATGGAAAAAGTAATCTTTATTATAAGGCAGTAGATTTCCACACCTCATACATCCCAGGATAAAGCCACAGCACGGTTGACCAAGTTCTGGATTTCCTGGAAAGTTCAAGAAGTGAACATGCATAACCGACGGAAAGCATGAAATATTATAAATACTTTCCAAGTAAAACACCATAGACTAAAACAAATACAGAACTTGCAACAGTTGTCATTTTTTGCACGTTGATGATTGACAGACAACTACTTACAAAATATCCAGACAATGAGTATCTTATTCTACTGATTCTATCATAGAAAGGTTCAGACTTTAGAACTCTTGATTGTAGGAAAAAGGCCAAAAGGCATAGACTTTAGACTCGTTTACACTGTATTTGCTAGATTTCTAATTAAACATAAACTACTGACCCTTAAAACCAACACATTAGTTAAAACCAGTTTAAATTAAATCGGTGACAGTAATGTCACACCCAGAGGAGATCCTGAGCTGCTTCCCATGGTATGACATCTGGAGATAGAGATCTACTGAGCCAAGATAGGTATGAAACCTTTTTCTGGCATCATATGATTTGCTTTGTATTTGTGAGGTTTTGTGATACATCATATAGGTTATGTAATTAGCATCACAGACCAAAACAAACTATGCCTACATTAATAACACAAAATACAAAGTTCACAGAACAAAAGTAGTCTCTAAATTGAGCTCTGTCTCTCCACATAGTTTACTAATTCCTTGATGGGATTTATGCAAGACAAATGCCCGTTTACATCACACTTAAATTCAATATGGAATATCCTAAGACTACCAAATTTGCCAGAGTTCTACGAGAATAACCAAAAGAGCAAAAGCACCCAGAATTTTGGGCATAAGAAAATGAACTGCTGCTGAAATAGAATAAAACAACTAATGCAACTGCAATGCTTCTTAAAGATGGAAATAGCAGGAAACAGCCAAAAACACCTTAATAGAATCGACAAATTAAATATCTATGCTAAAACAATAAAAAAAGACATATACGAAATATCAAGAGTGATCCTTTAAAGACAGTAATTTGAAAAGAGAAAGAACAATAAACACCTTGATCCAATGGTTTCTATGATGCTAGAAGATGGCTTAGGATCCATTTTGATTCGATGATGCCAACCGTTAAAGCTGCCAGCCACCTCGACAATTTCACCATCTCCAGAGTATTGGATCTCAACCTGATAAAATTAATTAATTCCTGTCAGCTGGCATTGCAGATACAGATCATACGTCATTCATTTGGTTGGTGCAAGGAGTCATTGACAAAACTTAAAAGCCAAAACGTGAATGTCAATGAGCTCTCTCTATCTATCTCTCTCTTAGTTGCACTACTCATAATCATTTGCGCTGAGATCTCTAACTTCATCATCATCCCCAGACATAAATATAACAACGCAAAAATGTCATTGTACTGTGATTAAGCTGTGGCAGCTCTTAAGCAGTTGGCACTCTATGTCGACATCCAAACTTTAGACATCTATCTTCTGTACAGAGAAAAGCCAAAAAGCACAGGATGTGCAAATAAAACCATCCCAACAAGCCAAAAAGGCAGAGGGAAAGTGTATATATATATACACTTGTTGATGTCATCAAGCGAACAATCTAAAAATTTTCAAGAGTTGAAAGTAGACTTTGAACAAAAGTTATTCATTGATATAACTTTGACAGTTAATTAAAAAAAAATGCATCAATATATTTATAACACCCAAAGTTGAACTCCAGACATTGCTCTATTCAGGGAAGCACCCCACTCACCTCCAAGATGGCCTAGCTAAGTAAGTCAGATATACATGAAAAGATTCTAACAAAAAGACAGATGCCATACCTCCTCTAATCCTGAGAGGCTTTCTTCAACAGCATTCAATTCAGCATCTTTTTCAGAGATAAGTTTTTGAGCTTTAGAGATTTCTGTTTCAGCTTTGGTTTGCAAAACACATAAAGCACGCTGAAGGAAAAAGGAAAAGAGCAAATTAAGAAATCTAGTAGTTAATGCCAATAGGAATTGCAGTTGTGTAATTCAAAGTTACACATCTATAATCAAGCAGTAATTGTTAGATAATGTCTATTTGTATGACAACAAAATTCAGGAAACAGTCACATAACACTACCAAAGAAACTAAAAGTAAAGTAAAAAAATCCAAGAAGCTGCAATGCAGTACATGGATTTTTCAGAGGTTTTTCAAGATGTTCTCATGGTTCTACACAGATTTAAGCAAAACCACACATTAAGATATGACAGGAGGCATGGCCTTCAAAAATGTATTCAAAATTCTAATTCAACAGACATTTCAACCTTTCATCATTCTTGCAAGTTCTGTTTTCCAAAGGAATGCTAAAATTAGATCCCACAGAAAAATTCTATATTCAGCATTCCCTATCGAGACCATTCTCAAGGAAATGAACTGGTGAATTGGCAAATTTAAAACTCAATCATTCAAAACCTTAACTTGTATGCATTTAGATGAGTTTTTATGCACTAAACACCTCATTGACATAATGAATTCCTGATTGAACAAGTCTTATATGTTTGGTTTCATGTCCTCATCAATAACTGAAAGGAAAATTTGTTCATCAGAATATTTGAATGACAAAGGGAAGATAAATAGTGAGTAATCTAGCTATTTTGAGCATGCTGGATAGCAAGAAAACTTGAATGCAGGCCCCACAACAACACATGCATTCAAAAATAGCACATACTTGCTCCTTCTCAATCTGGTCCTTCAATCGGGACAATTCCAACTCCATTTGTTGCTAAGCACACCAAAAGAGAAAGAAAATATAATTAGTTTATCCATATAACAAAACTTAGTACAAAGAAGAACATTAAAATACCAGGCCACAAAGACATAAATATTTAATACCAGCATAGATTTTAGATTATTAATCTCGAGTTGATTCTCAATTCTGCTAGTCTGTCTCATAGAAATATGAAGGTCAAGATATACATATGCAAAGAAATATCATTCAACAGAAATCACAATGTACTAAGACAGAACACGTAATGACCTCAATATCCAAATCCTTGTCAAAATCAACATTAAGTAGTCCTTCAGCCACCAAACCATCATCCCTGCAAATATTTAAATAAATCCAGTTCAACAAACAGAACCAGCAAAAAATAATAATAATAATAATAAATAAATAATAAAGGAAGTGCAAAACCATTGTTTTAAAGTAGACTAAAATGCAATACAGCATTAATCACTGACATTTGACAAAAATTTGCCGAACTCCCTAACAGAAGAACAAAGGGGAAAAAATTTGTAATTGTGGATTGTGACTACTTGGAAACTGCATCCACTAGAAAGGCCAGAGTTTTTCATTCTTTTCTCTTCTTTCTCGGTGAATACATATAATAGAAGTTAATGTCAGTAATCCCCCTGAGATTTCAGAAATAATAGAAATCTCCCAACCATTAAATTTTATATGCTAATATAAACAGCAAGAGGGTAATTTGGTATTGATTAACTCATAATCATATAAGTTTTAAAGGCTCAGTAACAATTCACCAACAGCAGGGAATTTGGGTTATTTTTAGAAACCTCATGGGGCTTTTTGTTATTCTATCATACCTCACGGGGGTCAATTCTTTTAACTCTGTAATAAGTCGTTTTGTACAAGAGAAGTAAGCAAATAAAAAATGATTTGAAGCATCAGAATCATCTCTATCTATCCATAATACACGCCAATTATTCAGCCATATGTTAACAATTCCATGTGACAAGAGAGAGATGCGCTAATGGAACAATCAATCAGAAGTAGGAATATTGCAGAATTCGTTTACACTTACATTAAAAGGTTCATGTTGATTCTAACAATAATGCAACTAGGTCATCTATAGTTGATAAGATAATGTCAAGGCATACAGAAGCAGAAAAACTCATTTTAACAGTTCCATTTTTCAAGCAAATAAACAATAAATATAGCTGTAGCAGACACCTTAGTTGATCTACCACACGCTAACCTGAGAGGGTGATTTACAGTCGCAAAAGAAGCAAGTTTGTTGGATGTCAATGCACTCCCATTCAATGTCACAGCACCATCTGCTCTGTGATTATAAACACGTTCTAGCAGATCTGGACCAGGTATCCCAGATTTGTTCCCTCCTTCAGTGACTTCCTTACTTTCTTTAGCATCACTTTCATCTAAAATGTCATACACATCATCTGACCATCAAGCAAAGTTGGGTAACGGGAAGTGCCATCAGAGACAAAGAAATCATTCGACAAAGATATATGAACAGCTTGCCAAATAAAATATAAGACTAGGAAAAAGCAAAAGCGCATGTCAACACCACCAAAAAGGGAAAAAGAAAAAGTGACGACTGAAATTAGAGTAAAAGAAAAAGAAAGAACATCGAGCTTTAAATGAAATCATATTACGGTCAAACGCAATAAAATAATATATAATAGTAATAAATATATAAACAATTTACTAAAAACTGGATCATGAAGTATTTTAGAAAGGTCATTATAGAATGAGGATGTGTTTGGAGTGTTCCCATATACTTGGGAGGGAAAAGAGGATAACAAATGTGAAAAAAAGTTGCTTTTAGACATGATTTTACAGAAGTTGCTTCCAAGTAAAATCACTTTTTGCACAAGCACCTAAAATTGCACATTATAGATAAGGACTCCAAGTGATTTTCTATCCAAAACATGTTTTTGTCTGTTTTAATTAAAAATTAAAAGGAAAAAAAAAAAAGTATTTGAGAGCATTTACTACAGAGCCAAAAGTACTCCTCTATGCACCCAACCAAAAATCTCCAAAAGTTTCTTGGTCATAATCATATAAATTACAAGTTTTTTATAGTACAATCACAGAAGCATCAAACATTTGTGTCTACAATAGATAATACATCAAAATATCTTTACTACAAGATACAAATACAAGCACAGTAAAGCTTTATGATAATCATATTTACACTAAAAGCATGGCAGCATATGAGTAAGAATGTAACTCTGATAGACCTCTTTTCTTGGTTTAGTTCTCCTATTCTCAGTGCTAGATGCAACAGTATAACCCAAACACACAACTACAGCCAGCCCCAATTTAAATCATCTCTGAAAACTACTGAAACTTATTATTCAAGCACCATTTAGCACCAGTGCTTGTTCCATAAGACTCACAACAATGATTGATAAAGCAAATGAAACTACAGTAATTAAGAACCCACCATCTATCATATCCAAATCTCCATTCTGAATAAAGTTTGCAACCTTTTCCTCCAAGGTTAGAGGGGCTGAAGCTTCTGGGGCTGTGTAATGATGTTCAACAAAGTTGGAAGATGATTCAACATTTGAACTACTGGGATAACTTTCCACAATGAAGACATCATTTGATGACGAAACCTTTTCCTCCAAGGTTATGGAGGCTGAGGCTTGTGCAGATGTGTAATGATGTTCAACAAAGTTGGGAAATGGTTTAATGTTTGAACTACTAGGATAACTATCAATGATGGAGTCATCATTTGATGTTGAAGCTTCTGAGGACGTGTAATGATGCTCAACAAGGTTGGGAAATGGTTTAATGTTTGAACTACCGGGATAACTTTCCACGATGGAGACATCATTTGATTCTGAAGCTTCTGGGGATGTGTAATGATATTCAACAAAGTTAGGAGATAGTTCAACGTTTGAACTACTGGGATAACTTTCCAAGATGGAGACATCATTTGATGATGAAACCTTTTCCTCCAAGGTTACAGTGGCTGAAGCTTCTGGGGAAGTGTAATGATTTTCAACAAAGTTGGGAGATGGTTCAATGTTTGAACTACTGGAATAACTTTCCACAATGGAGACATCATTTGATGAGGAAACCTCTTCCTCCATGGTTATAGTGGCTGAAGCTTCTGGGGACATGTAATGATGTTCAACAAAATTGGGAGATGGTTCAACGTTTGAACTACTGGAATAACTTTCCACGATGCAGACATCATTTGATGAGGAAACCTCTCCCTCCAAGGTTATAGTGGTTGAAGCTTCTGGGGACGTGTAATGATGTTCAACAAAGTTAGGAGATGGTTCAACATTTGAACTACTGAAATAAGTTTCCATGGTGGAGACATCATTTGATGATGAGATATTTTCAGCGATATTCTTCTTTTCATGCTGACCTTCTATATTGTATGAGGTTGAGGCTTTCTCCTCCAAGCCTAAACTGGATGAGGATTCTAAAGGTAGCAAACCAATTTCATCAGATATGAGATCTGTATTACTAAAGGACCCACCGGAAAGGTTATTCATGACAGACCTATTGGACTCTGTATCATTCTGACCATTATATGCATATGAATGATTTTCCTCTAATGATGAATCGGCTGAAGATTCAATTGGCAACCCAATATTATCATCAGAGTTGAGATTTGACTCTGTATTTGTGCTTCCAAAATAGTTTCTTAGACTAGGTTCTTCAACCAACAATAAAAAATCTTCAGCCTCATTGCCCACCTTTTCATTCTGACCTTTTAAATTATACAAGGGTATCAATAACAGCAGAATAATAATAAAATGAGAATCATGACCATAAAATGGAATGTATATTGACCTGGTAAGCCCTTCTCTGCAATAAGACCATCACAATCTATTTTTGTTGAGTTCGCAAGAAGCTCCCTAACAAATTTATAGCCTCTCCGTCTCACAATATTCGCAAGGTCATTTCTGAAAAGGGAAAAAATGTCAAAGAAAAATATAGCATATAAAGTAAATAAGTATTTCCCTTCTAAAATTAATACATAACTTCATAGATTGTTTTCCTTTCAACTGTTTTAAAAAAAAAAATTATAACTTCATGATAACTTTCTGAAAGAAAAAGATTATGTGTATATTAACTAATCTCTAGATTATATCTTGTAACCAGTGAAGGACCGAAACTGGCGAAAATAGTAAGTACACATTCAAAATCAACTACTAAGACATCATAAAACCAGTCCTCCTAAAGCCAGCTTCAAAGGAGTTAACCACTGTGACATATAATTTAATTACCAAAAATTGTAACGCAAAATAAACAGCTCCTAACCATCAATAGGTTCCACAAGAACCAAATCAAATAACCAAACAGAAGATAACAATAATAAAGTAATTGAAGAAGAACCTTCCATGCTCTGAAAGCTCCTTCATGGTGGGCACATGATCGTTGGGAAGTCCAACCCTAGACAAGAACTCCCTTAAATCATTTCGCAATTCTTCATTGCTCTTCACCTTTCTACGGGACCTGAACCACCAAACAACAAACCCAGTTAAACCTTCAAATAAATAAATTTGAAAAATGAATTTTCTTTAAAAAAAAAAAAAGAGAGAGAGAAAAAGAAACAAACTTTAAAACTTAAACCTGGATGTTTTGTTGAGTGAAGAAGCATAAAGGCGGTATGTAAAGTGTTTCCGAAGTGGGTATTGTTGAAAGTTGTTAAAACTGAGGCGGTGGTGGTTGTGGTGAAGGGATAAGAAGATTTTATGAGAAGGAGGGAAAGGAAGAAAGGTTGAAGAAAGAAAGAGGGAGGCCATGGACGGTGAGCTTTTGCAGCATTGAATGATTGAGGTGGAATTGAGAAGAAGCGAAAATCAGTGACAGAAACAGAACTCAAATGAACATGTGATTGTGACTTGAGTAAGCAATGAAAGACATTGGTGGTATGTTGTTTTGTTCATGTTTGGTTGGGCTTGTTAATCCAAATCCATGGCCCAGTTCGTTCATCCAGATAATGATGAATTTTTTAAAACTTTCAAGTTTCAATCCAATTTTAAGTTTCCCATCCCATCAAATACAGTTTCAGATATTTTCATTCATCTTCTTGTTTAGTTGAAATATTAATATAATGAAAATCACTTGAAAATTTCTTTCTTCAACTCTGAATTTTAACACAATTTATTAAAACTAATAACATTTTTGGAGTAATGCAATCTCATATGAGAAAGATCCTGATCCTGATCCTGATCCTGATCCCGATCCTGATCCTGTTTGTTATCTGATTGATATCAAATAAAAAAATTTGAAATGTTTTGAAAAAAAAAAAAATTCGGGTACAAATTCTAAAAACAATATAATCAAGAAACAGTATAAATAATTGATTTAGCTTTTATCTAAAAACAATTTGAGCAAAATTTGAATTTCTGAAACAAATATCTTTAACTTTGCCCAACCGACTTTTAATGATTATTTTTGAAAAAAATACACTTCTAATTTTCACGGCCCATTAATTAAGGTACAATATATCAAATTACAATAATGCTACAGACATCGATGCTTTGTACCAAATTTTTACACTGAACGACGTGTCCACTGAATTAGACAAACCACGTATTACATTAACAAATATTTCGCGAATAAACGATATTCCATTAAATATGGATGATTGTCTATTATTATTAGACAATCGTTTATTTAAAATAGACTCCTGTCCATATTATATAGACGATTGTCCATCTATAATTGTTTAGGGAGAGGGCAGGCGTCCATAGTTATGGACCACTTTTAATATTAACAAATTTTAATTTTTAAATTTATTTATTACTCTTGTCCATCTTTTTCTTCTTCCTCTTCCTCTTGCACCACTGATGGAATGAAAAGGAGTCACGCCTGAATTCCTGGACCAAAGAAACGTAGCTCGTAATCCATTCACATATGCATCTGAAAACAGAAACCAATCTGACCATACTTGCAATCCTTTTAAAACTCGTTCCTGCCGAAACTCAAATAATTATCACATCAAAACCAGAAGCAGAACAAATGAAAAATACAACAGGAAGTCAAAATGAAAGTTGCCATTACTGCTCACCTTTAGGGCCTCAGCAGTAATCCTTCCAGTTATACTACGATACAAGTCATTAAAGCTCTCCATTATGTCCGGTAATGTTGCTTCAAATTTGGTACGGTAAGCAGATGCATTTTTTACAGGAGCACTACTATTATGGAGAACATCAGAGACGAGCATGAGCCTAGCAACTTTGGTTGGAATAGGGGTTTCCTTAAGAGTCAAAGATTCTGTCAGGACTTCGACTATCTACAAGATAAAAACCACCAAATACGTCTAAATTTCACAATGAAGAGCTCAGGAGATGACATGCAGAACTGATCTTTTCAAAAAAAAAAAATTAAATCAAACAATGGACAGGCGTCCCTTGCATGTCCTTTGAATATGTATGTCTGTCTATATAATATATGTACGTCCGTCCATATAATATATGGACGGACATAATTTTTGTTTTAAATTTTTTTATTTTAAACAATGAATCGGCGTCCATTTTAAGTCCATCCATTTACTATAGACTCCCGTCCATTTTTATATGGACGCCCGTCCATAGTAAATAGATATTCATCCATATTATTTTTCATTTAAAATTTTTTGAACATACTTCCATATAAATGGACACTCGTCCATGTAATATGAACAATAATCATTAAATATAGACGGACATCCATAAATATTAGACAATCGTTCATTGTCGAAAGACTCCAACATGATCACACTGATTGCCATGTCCTCTGTACAAAAATTTGATGTCTAGCATTACTCATTCAAGGCTGAGTGCAGTTCATTAGATAGAGAATCACATGGGTGCAAGACCCATTTTGATTTCAAACGGCCTTTGACCTAGACACACCCCGCCTTAGTACTGAGATACTTCCCGTTTTTCATTTTTTTCAATTATATATATTTTTAACAACTATTTAATGAAAATCTTTTACTAACTTTCAAGGCCCACTAATACCGTTTAATTGATCTAAATTCAGGCCAGAACAATAGTGGCCCATAAGAATTAGGCAAACGAAAGTTAAGACTAGACTTGGTGGGGTGCGCCAGGCCCTTGCTGTAGTGCAACGCTTGGGCGACGCTCGAGAACCCCAGTAGCAAGCTACTGTAGCAGGTCATCCCCCTAAAAAAATTAATTTAATATCATGTGGACCGATAGCCCACGTATCAGATATTAAACTGATAAGAACAGATACTACACTTGATCTTAGCCAAAAGGCCGAGAAAGGTATGATTTACCCAGCCCTTTCACCTTTCTTTTATATCACTCTCAATGCAACTACCCTTAAATAATAGGCGATGTGGGACTTCCTCATCTCCTCTCTGAACTCAGCAACACCTCTTTCTCAAGAATTATAGAATAATGTTTTCTCAATATATTTCTCAATTTTATCATTAATATCATAATTTCAAGTAAACATGAAATATGGTTTTTTAGTAATAGAGATTATATATATGAGACACAAGATGGTTATTAAATTATGAAAAATCAATTTTCATTTTTACGATTCCCAAGGAATATTTGTACTTTTTTTTAAAATGAAATGGAAGAATTGAAGTCATCTTCATATTATTCAATATTCATTATGAGTTGGTTAAATATAAATTAAATATACTGACATCAATTTGACTCATATAAACGTTTTTATCTTTTTGAAACTTAATGCTTATTGTAAAAGTAATTAAGCAAATAATTAAAAAGGAAAAAATGTGTTGTTCTCTTGGGTGAAAATAATTAAATGTTAATATAAGTTTTGTTTTCATAACATGAACACCATCGTATTTTCACATCTATCTTAGATCATAATCTCATTTCTGTAATAAGAATCCAACACTGCTGTCAGAAAAACATCATTACCACCCAGAAAAAAAATAAATAAATAAATAAATAAAGGTTTAAAACATTTACCTCCCATGAAGTATCCGAAATTTTTTAGGTCTAAAAGTAGACATATTATACAAACACCTTCCCTATCGTCGTTTTGGCTGTTAAAACTAACGGCTTGAAGAATAAAAAAATAATCAACTCTGTAATAATGATTTAATTAAAAAAAAAGTGCTTTGAAAAATGTTCCGTAACCATAGACTTACTATATTCAATTATTAAAAAGTATTTATTTATGAAAAAAATCTGTTTTATCTATTTTAATAATGATATAATTTTTCTTTTTTATACTCCCTCTTATTTTATATAAGGATGTTTTATTTTTTCAAATTAAAAGTCGATCCTTGTCTTGTTCTTTCTCCACTTTTCGTTATAGCCTACATCTCCTCTGTCTCTCTCTGTCCTATCTTATCTCTTCCCCTCTTCTCCTCTTTTCCATATTTTTCATCGCCCACTTCTTCTTTCTCTACTCTACGTCTTTGCTTCCATATTCTCTCTCTTTTTCGGAACAAACTTTATCAACTATAAACCATTAAATTGGTTTTTGGCTGACATCAAGTTTCCTCTTCCCCGCAAGGATTTCTTGTTTGGATATCTGACCAATGCTCATGTGTTCTCCAAGTTTGATCTTAAAGCTGGTTTTTGGCAATCGGCAAGGGTATTGTGTTTTCCTTTGATGTGTTTGACAGTGAATTGGTATCTGGAAAACCATTGGGCCCTCAGACTTTACCGGAGGTCAATTCTTCGACTTCAAGAAGCCATGTTTCGCCGAGTTGTTGTGTGGAGTCGAGGGGTTCGAAGGCGTAAATAAGACAAATGTAAATTATTTAAATATGCAACAGGAAAGTTTCCCACTTGCAAAATCAGGAGAAAAAGTTAGGTGGGAGAGACAAAATTTTTTTTTATTAAAAATTGTGTCCAAGCTTAAAAAGACTTTTATATAAAAATGAAGGAAGTATTTCACAATTTATTTTGGGAAATTATATTAAATGACATTGTTTTGGGGTTGAAATTGAAAAAGAGCACATTTAATTTTTTGCTTTCACAAAATAGCACTTTTCCATTTTTCACCAATTTAACCGGCGAAAATACCCTTGCATAAAAGAAACCCTAACCTTTTCCACTTCATCTTCAACTCCATTGAACCAAAGCTTAAGCCTTCCGTCCTTCATCTTAATTTGAAAAGAAAACGTAGATTTTGTGCCATAATCGAGCGGATTTAACATGGTTATTGTTGTTTTTGGCAAAACAAACTATCCATATTCACTTTTTTGGGGGGGAAGTAAATCACAGTAATTGTATAAAATATAATAAAAAAATTTACAACCTAAGAAGGGGGAGTCCTTCTCTCAAAAGAGCCTTGGACAAGCTTAATGATCAAACTAAACAAAACAAAGGCCACAGACAAAAGGATAAACAATCTTTTACAAGCTAAGCCTAATAAAAAAAGAAGGCTTAGGCAACTGACCTAAAACCAGCTATACAGAAAGTTCTAATGGAAAAAAATGAGAAACTGCTAGCCCAAAAGCCTAAACAAAACAATCCGGCCCAGACAACACAGGCCTAGGCTCTTCATGCACAAGCTAGTAACAGCTCGACGCTAGCTCAAGAAGGCACAACCCAACCCAAGGTAGACTGAAGTTCGCCCAATACTTTGTTCCAGATAGAAGCCGAGAGGCAAAATTCCTTCCAAATAAAACATTCCCAGAATCATATTTTATAAAGGAGGATTCCCAAACTTACGACACCAACGATGATTATTCTTTCCCTTTTCAAGGATAAACTTACATCTTCCCTTTACATTCTCCTTTCTCATGACATCAGTCCAAAGTGCACTCCATTGCATATACCAATGTCAATAGACTAGATGAGGTTCTCCCGAGCTACACGATGAATATGTTAGGAACCCGATTCTGGGATGATTGGGAAGATATCCAAAAAAGTTACGTTAAGTACAATTAAACAATTAGAATATTTGTAATTAGGATATTATTTAAAATATGAGTTATAATCACTCTATTAAGCAATTGAAATATGAATTAAAATCTTTTGAGAGTCATTTGGAGTCAAGTGTAAGGCTATATGATAGCCTAAATCTAGATTGTGGGGAGGAATGAAGAATTTTGTCAATTAATGTCTCT